CCCCCCCAGTTCCGCTGGCAGCTCCTGGAGGGGAGTTTTGTCTTGTTTGCCGCCCTATTTCCAGCGCTCATGCCCCTGCCTGGCACACGAGAGGCTCCAGCCTCTGACCACCTTTCATTTCTTCTCATTTGCAAAAGCTCTTTCCTATTGCTGAGCCTTAGCCCAAGCTAAGAACACCTGATCTGGAACACTTTCTCTTTTGAAACGATGGGCTCCTTTTCATGCTTTGGTCCCCAGCTTAAATGTTAGCTCCCTGAAGAGCACACACTCTGCTCAAAGGAAATCGCACACGTGCACGCACACGCGTCCCCCTTTGTCGCAGCGTCCGGTCTGTGGCCTTCGCAGCCCATACAACAACCTGCAATGAGTTGCTTCTTGGGCAGGTCCTCCACTTGACTGTTCTAGGAAGAGAAAATTCACATCCATCTTGTCCACTGTTGTAGCCCCAACAATCAGCACACCCAAGGCTTTCAATAGATATAGGTTAAAGAACAAAAGAATCAACATACACACTCAGAATTTAATAAACCTGTCAGAATTTTAATACTGTGTTACATGGGAATTTTGGCATAAACTAAAGATGGCATCTTAGACCAGAAGAGGAAAGGTGAATTATGTATTAACTATCTCGGATTGATTAAACAACCAAAACGAAAGCTGACTCTGTTCCCTCCTTACTCAATTCCAAATGGATCAAAGATGTAAGCCTTAAAAAGTGAAGTCATTAAAAGAACTCGAGGAAAACGTACACAAAGTTTTAATCCTCTTAATGCAGAGATGTTTTCCTAAGCAAGCCAAGGAAGGAAAGAGTGATCTACTTAAATAATAAACGCTAACACTTTCTTCACACACACGTACACACTCAAAACATACTCAGAGACAAAAGACAAACAACACGTTGGGGAAAAACAATTGTTACACTTGACTGAAGCCTTGCTATTATTATAAACCAAGTGTTGTTACAAATAAATAATGAAAACACTAATAACTCAAAGTAAAAATAAAGGACATACACAGACCACAGAAAAATCCATGCAAATGGCTTTTTAAAAATGGGATATACGATTTTAGGAATATCAAAGGAAAGGAATGTACATTAAACAGTGAGGTAACCATTTTTCATCTTTGAAATTGGCAGAAATGAAAAACTTTAATAATGTTCAGTGTTGGCCGATATGTGGGGAAATGAGCACTGACATATTATCCTGGGGGTGGGGCACACGCTTTGTCTGTTGAAAGTCGGCCTCATCTGTCGGCTGGCCCTTGAGAGTGGTTCAGCATATTTATGTCCGCGAGAAGGACAGCTTGGCAACATTTATTGGAATTTTAAACGCACATACTCTTTGGCCAGCAATTGCATCCTAACATTTTATCCTACAGATAAACAGGGACACATATGCAAAGATTCAGTGACCTTGAATAGTGGACTGATGAAATAAGGTTTGGTTCATACCCATAATAAACAACCACATGGCCAATGACATGTATGTGTTTAGCATATGAAGCATACAAGGTACGGAACAGAATGCATTGTACAAATTCATTTGTTGAGAGAGAAAAAAAGGAGTCCAGAGCTAAGAGATAAACAGATAAATAGAGAGACAGACACACATGGCTGTGTACACGTACCATTTCTGGAAGGATTAACAAGAAACCACGGGGGGAGGATCTGGGAGGTCAGGAGGCTTACTATTCATGGGAACTTTTCATATTATTAGAAAAAAAATTTACTAACTGCATGTATTACTTTTTAAAATTTAAAAACTAGCTAAATTATAAAAATGATGTTAGCATAACTCAGTGTAGACCTTCAAAGATTCTCTGTACCAATAATAGTGATGTTAGTAAAATAGATTTTTCAGTCTTTCTTGTTTGGGTAATGCTTTTATTATTACAAGGTATGAAATTTTAAATGAATATCTAACATTTTTTAAAAACACTCTTTCAATAATCCAGAAGTGAGAGAGGTTTAGCCCTTTAGTTGTAAAGAAGTTATTTAACTTAAAAAGCCTACTCTTGATTTTCTAATAAATATTTTATTTTAAAAAGGGCCTGCCAAGGCAGCTTGGACAAGTTAAGCTCATTTGTAGATATGGCCACTCCCTACCCATCCCCAACCATGTATTCAAATTCAATGCCAAAGGTTACTTATTAAACTAAAGAGATATTATGTCCTGGGAAAACCATTATAAATTTGGCCTTTAGGAGAGCTGATCTCTTAATAAAATACAGAACAACTATCTCAGAAAAACGAAAATGGGCAATCATCAGGTAAGTATTTATTGCCTTTGGGAATCGAACACAGTTTTTGTTTTGGTTATAGCATGTGTAGAAATTTAAACTATGAAATCATGATTGATACTTTTAGACTTTTGGGTTGTGATTACCCCTTATTACTGGTTTTCAAACAGCATCCCATGCTTTTAAAATGCTTTTGGAATATATTTTTTTCTCCATCAGTCTAAAACCTCTTAGGAGGGAGATTAAAATGCTTTTAGAAAAGTGTTTAAAATGGGGTGGTAAATAGTGCCCTGTAGAGAGAAAAATGGTTAATATGTATTTGTGGGATGAATAACTAGTGCTATTAGTAAATAGCAAAGCTGCACAAAAGTTCATAGACTATGATCATCAGGGTTTTGCAGGGAAGAGAGGGTCTTGTTGCAAATATCAGTAGATCAAGGTAAAAATACTTCTACAAGGCCATATAACTTGGATTGAAAGGTGAAAATATACCAGTATTATTTCTAAACAGAGTCAAACATCCAGATATTTGCAAATATCCATGAAACAGACTCAGTAGTTTACTTTTCTTCTGCAATGCCTAGGTTAATGTGAATGACATGTCTCAATCACTAGTAACCAACAAGTGACTAAAAGACTACCAGCTGGAACCAACTATCCACAGGGCAGGGCAGAGTAAAACCTTGAAAAATGAATAGCTAAAGCTGTTGAAATAAGAATTTTAATAAGGTCTTGCTGCATCTACTATAGCTTCCTGCAGCAAGAATGATTTATTAGGTGAACAGTAGGAGCAAAGAGAATAAAATTCCAAAATTTTATGTAAATTCTGACTTCGTTTATGTGGTTTTTTCCTTTGCTGTAAAGTAAACTTACACTCATATGGTTGCAAACCTACAAATATCTTCTTCGGAAAGACATTATTTTTAAAATCATCTGTAAATAGCATTACACACTAGCCAAGATTATGAGCCTTCCTGTCAGTGTATCTTTCAGAGAAACTGAAACCTGTTCATAAAGTACTTAGATAGATGCAGAGGACAATCATGTGCCCTGCACTGGCAGTTTAGTAAGACATTGCATCCCTTGAAAGTCAACCCCACGGGGCAGCTGGCTTTTATGAGTGGAATAGCATTTTTACGTATTTCTCTTTCGAATCCTCAGAGCCAGTCTTACTGCCTCTCAAAAGGCAGCCAACAGTTGCCCAAAGAGGACACCCTACCCTCGGCAGTCGTACGGCCACTCTGCCCCTCTCCAGGGTGTGGACAGCCAGAAGCCCAGCAGCCTGTAAGCACTTTTTCTCCCTCCAAATCATAGGTATGAGTGGGCTCTCTTATGGGCCCAGTGTTACTCACCACTGACTTGTCATATTGGGCCCTCCACAACCCTCCAGTCTGAAAATGGCATCACCAGACATGTACTTCCAAGCAGGGAAATATTGTCCCCAGAAAATGTTGGCTACGATATTTGCAGCTAATATGAAAATATAATCTAAGCACTGAGTTTACATTTCCAACAGAGTCCCCTTAACAGGGCCTTAAAATTCAGAACATGAGGCTACAATGTGGCCACAAGGACATTTTTGAAAATACTAAAGGAATTTAACATGTGCCAATACTAATGCAATTTAACATGTGCCCAAGGAATGAGTATGTTCAAAGACTGTGTTTCTAAATGAGTAAATGCAAGACCTTTTGAAAGACAAAAAGTTGTCCCAGTAATGACTTAAATTATTTGCGTTAGGAAGTAACTTGAGTATGTACAAGTTTAAAACAATGCTTGTAGTTCTGAAGCAACTACACAGCATAACAAATTTAAAAAATTAAATACTAGTCGGTGATGTGCAAATGTATGTTAATGATTTTATGTGATAGACGATGTTATTTTGCTGAGATTAAATGGTCGCGCTCAATGTAAAATGGTCCTGATTGCTATGATGTGGTTTCTTTGGGTGGCACCATGTGTGAAATATAACATGGTGAGTGACTTCTTAGCTCTTCTATTGCGTTTCTCTATCCAAACTACTGAGAAACTTTTATAAGACTCCATGTAATACAATTGGGCTTTCTCTTGGCTTAAATGCATAATTACTATATTAAACCTCCCCCTGTTTTTTGTTCTTTTATCACTAGCCTGCAACATTTAAAGTACGACTATTTTGCATTTATACAATCATAAGCAAAGAGAAAATGCAAGCATTGGAACCATGAGTCTTGGTCATGATTAGCCACCCTGATGATGTAATATGCTTTATATTAGTTTTTAAGTTATTATCAGCATTCACTACACTATTTAAGAAGCCTACCAGGGGAGTTTTGAATCCCCAAGAACATGTCCACAGACCAGGGTTCACAGATAACTGCTTGACAAACATTGTTCTAAAGCCAATAGAGTGTTGGCCAGGGGATTACATTTTCCAAGGTACTATAATACAGAATCCTAGCCAATTCTGAAAACTGAAAATTACTTTTTTTGCTTTGTGCTTTTCCCCTATCCTTTAGTCATCGTTAATTATTTTTTTGAACTGAAGACCTAGTGTTTGTGACTCACTTATTTGGAACAGTAATAAGATCCTGGGTTATTATGATTTGCTAAATCACACGATGTTCGAAGTCTGCTTTGCCTGGGGGGCATGTCCTTGTGCGCAATGAGCTTTGTGTATAGACAGAAAAATAAGATCCACAGAAAAATCTGCTTAGGTTTAGCCAGATGGCTCTTTATTCTACCGTGTGAGTTGTTTTCAAGTGAATCGAGATCTAGAGGAAAAGAGTATTGAGATCAAGAGAGATGACTTTGCCATAGAGCTTGCCTGTAGGGTATTGGCAGGGTAAAATAGAAGGAGCAGAGACATAGAGGACGTTTATAAATATGGGGGTGATCACAAACTTAATAAGTCTAATGATTCCGGAAAATTATTTTCAAAACTGATGAATGGGCACTAGACAGGTCTACAGCCTTGCTACTCAAAGTGTGGTCCCTAGATGGGTAGTGGCATCCACATTGTTGCTGGGATGCTTATTAGAAATGCAGAATCTCAGGCCCACCCAGACCTACTGAGTCAGAGTCTGCATTTTTAACAAGACCCTCAAGTGATTTTTATGTGCGTTGAAGTCTGAGAAGCACTAAACTGGGGAGCCAGTTCTCAGACTGGCTGCACACTGGGGATTTCTAGAAACCACTGACGCCTGAGTCCCACCCCCAGAGAGTCCAATTCATTAGTTTGGGGGTAGGCCTGGGCACTGGGATTTGTAAATGCTCCCCAGGAGATGCTAACGTGCAGCAGAGTTTGAGAAACACTGAACTGGAGCACACCCCCATCCTTACGAGGACAGATCGGCACACTGCCCACAAAGGCAGGTGTCATCATGAGTGCCCATAAATGAAAACTTGTGAATGTGAGAACATCTGCTCAGCAACCTGCCGTGGTGTTTGTGCACATGCCATCTTTATGACTTCCTTGTGCCAATATTTAGCCAACATAAATATTGTCTAAAAGGGAGACTTGGGACTTGCAGCCAGTGAACACCAGCAAGATCAAATGAAGGTGGCTAGGAACACCTGGGAGCCATGTAAGGTCCAGATTCCAGAGAAAAGAAGGGAAGCTGTGGGGCAGGTAGAAATGTGACTGAGAATTTGGGATCAAAGGAAGTGTGGCTTTAACCAAAAGGGTGCATTAAAATATGATCCCAAAAGCCAAAGAAACATAGTGAGCCCCACGCAGAAACCAGCCTAGAAACCAGGCAGAAACCATGCAGTTACACCTCCCCTTTCAGGAAACCTTTCATGAGGAAGTTAGTCCTTCAGGACACCACCACCAGTGCAAGAGGAAACAAAAGGCCCTCGGACGTCCAAACACGGCATCCACCACAGCACAGCTTCTGAATTTAAATACAGGTTTCCCATTCAAAGTCAGGATACATTTGAGACACAATTTCACGGGCTTGGTTTTGGGGATTTCTTGTGTATGGTAGATAAAAACAGTCATTTTAAAGAGGTGGGGGAAAGGCTGCCCAGGACAAATACACAGGCAGAAGAAAGAACATGCAAACTGGAAACCTGATACAAGACGCTGAAACTGTGGTTGCGGGGGCCGCTTAGTGTAGGGGATGGAATCCGAGGCGCCCCAGGGTGCGCCGGCCTGTAGGTCCCCCATGCAGCAATGAGAAGCCCAGCTCCCAGGGATGGGGCACAGCCAGAGGTTTAAAGGAGCCCTCCAGCCGGCCGGCGTGGCTCAGCGGTGGAGCATGGACCTAGGATCCAGGAGGTCATGGTTCGATTCCCGGTCAGGGCACATGCCCTGGTTGCGGGCTCGATCCCCAGCAGGGGGCGTGCAGGAGGCAGCGGATCAGTGACTCTCATCATCGATGTTTCTATCTCTCTCCCTCTCCCTTCCTCTCTCTGAAATCAATAAAGATATGTTTTTTTAAAAAGGGGAGGGGCCTTCTGAAACAATATGATGATATGGGAAATTTGTCAAGTGCTTACTAAACTGTGAGCTGGTCCGAGGGGTTGGCTCTGGTCCTTGACACTGGAGTCCTTCACTCTACCTAGGACTCTACATGTGTTGTATCATTTAGTTTTCCCAAGAGTTTCATGAGGGAGACGCTATTATCCTTCCCCTTTTAAATACGGGGAAAGTGAGAAAAAGACAGGTTAGGCCACTGGTCCTAGGTTGTGCATCTAGTAAGAGGCAAAGCATGGATTTGGATTTAGGCACAAGCTCTTCACACTATGCCTGGGGCTCAGTGAAGGCTCATATTACACCAAGTGGAAGCTACACTGTTGGGATTTTTGCAACTATTGAAGTGGGCTGTCCCCTCATCATCTCCTCTCTACCCCACCCTGAGCTTCCTCTTTGTCCCTCAAGGTGGATTAGAGGCTCTATCTCAATGCTTCCATAGTACTGTGGGTATAAGGCCATCCTTCCTCTCCCACGTGGTTTTAGAACTGTTGATACATCCCCCGGGCACTGGATTGAGGTTCTCCAGAGGCAGAACTCTGTCTTTTTCATCTCTGCGTTCCCATTAACAGCA